GCAGAAAAATGATAATTGCGGACTGCCAGCGCACGACAGGGCTCACCATAACTTCTTGCACGAGCGATGTTATTTTGTGGGTCACCCATTCATAGAGCAGTAGACAACATAGGCTTACCTTTAGGTAGGTCTACATGCATGAGCACAAATGAAACAGCATCACTTGGCGGGCAGCCTGGGACAAACAATTGTTAATGAATTGTTACTTAAGCAAGGAAACAACTCGCTTGTTGTATTAGTTAATGTACACTTTCTACTGCTACGTTAAGCTTGAGAACACTGTGAAGGAAAAAAAAAACTGTAAGCAAAGTTTTGTTTGATGGAAAACACCACGCGAACGTGCTAGTGCCCTTTCAAGCGCAGCAGATCACCCGCCTTTTATTTATGGCGGCGGTTCTGGCAGCCGCTTTTGACCCTGTAAGAAAATGGGGCGGGAGTTTCAAATACAAGCTTTGAAAGACCCTTGTTAAATGTAGGACCACACACACATATCATGGGCAGGCGCATACTTCCTTCGAAAATGCATCGGTTGGTGGCTGTGTTCTAAAAAAAAAGAATTTTTACGTCACTACGCTGAGCTATGATGAGTGGTTGACAATGACGTAATCACTATGGTATGTGGCGATGCCATCAACTGATACCGGTTAGCGACATAGTCTGCGGCTGTTGATGCGAGATGGGCTGCACAAATTTGACTGCGTCAGTCTCGCTACTAACGGCATAGTATGCAACTGTACACACATATGAGTCTCTCAATTTTTTTTTCTTCAACGTATCACCAAAGTAAACCACAGACGACGGCGCTGAGAATTCGAATTAGGCAGTATGTCATTAGCGGTGCATATTTTTACTCCTATATATTATGTGGGCCTATGTAGACGCCGTCGAAATGTGTAACATCACGCAAATAGAAGTGGGTATGTCAAGGGTGCGGAATCAGCTTAATTTATTTTGCGAGTTGAGTTTCTTTTCGGCGTGTTCTAGAAGTAATAGTAGTGCCTCGGGCATTGTGAAACGGTAATTTACTTACACCAGAAAAACAAATTTTTCGCTTCAATGCACCTATAAAATTTTGCGGTTTTGGTACGTATGGGCCGTGCATTCTTGTGTTTTTTTATTCTAGAAAATGCGGTGGAAACATGGTTTTTTCTATTGGTTATACACATTCGAATGCAATAAACTTATCTTAAACGAAGGCCCCGCCGAGGAAGCCTTCGTCGAGTACCTTAGCCTAGTGGCTAAGGTACTCGGCTGCTGACACGCAGGTCGCGGGATCGAATCCCGACTGAGGCGGCTGCTTGTTAGATGGAAGCGAAATTGCTGTAAGCCCATGTGTTCAGATTTGGGTGCACGTAAGTGAACCCCACGTAGTCGAAATTTCCGGAGCCCTCCACAACAGCGTCTTTCATAATCATATGGTGTTTTGGGACGTTAAACCCAAAATGTCAATCATTCAATCAATCAATCAATCAAATTTTAAATGAAGAAACATCGGCAGAGCAGACTGAAGACGAGAGAATGCAAACACAGCGTTGTGTACTTTCTATGTACTTTCATATGTGTTTTTAACTACTTTCACTGTTGCCATGAAAATCAGCGGCCATGACGTTGAGATTGTCTAGTTTTGTTCATCCTGCAAATATTTCATTTTTTTATTGCGATAGTAAATATATGGGCACTCTCAGCTGAATTTTTCCGCCGGCATCGATGTCGGCGTCGCCATCAGACCCCGCATATGTATACGTATCTATATATATGAAAATGCAAGAAAGAAAAATAATTCAGAAAAAGACTCCGGCGCGCGGAATCGAACATCCGACCTCTGAATTGTGAGTGCGATGCCTTAGCCAACTAGCCACAAATTACCACCTTCTTGTACCCTCAAACAGCAAGCTGTTTACACCAACCACTTACCGCGGCAGATGCTCATCTCGGGGAAGCTGTAGTGTTTGCATCAGTACCAGCGAGATGGCGCAATGAGTGCGCTTCGCCAGATCGTCAAGATGCGGCGGCGCGTGCGGTCATCTTCCACGCGTATCTTGCCCCACGAGAAGAAGGGGGGGGGGGCGCTCACTCTCCCGCCCTTATCTCACCGTGCGGAGGATTTCACGTCTTGGGCTTTCGCCGGAACGATTCTGTTGTAGTTACCGGGCGCGCAAAGGTCACATCACTCGTTGCACAGTCTTCATTTGCGAAAAGAGCACGCTTTTTAGACAAAGCGTAGTAACAACTGAGACGCTTATTCGCGTTCACCTGTACCTGTGAGTGCGTTTTGTGCGTCATTGTTGCATGAAAAACTCGGGGCGCGTTTCGATCTGCTTGCCATTCTTCGAGTGACCTTCCAATTTCTGCTATCGTGTTCATTGCTTCGCCTTTACGCCAAATCTGTGACTTTTTCATTTATTTTTAGTAGGCACGCACGTTCAGACTGGTTAATAACCATTTATTGCAACATTGCAGCTTTAAAGCTACGTATTCATACTTCCTTCAAATAATACTTCCTCTAACCACCCCGATGCTGTCAGTTTTGAAGTAGGCTTCTTATCACTATGAGTGTTATTGCGGCAACGTTTACATAAGCGAAGCTATGGGTATGTTCGTGCGAAAACTTTTGTAATAATGTGGTGGTAGTGACGATTATAAAAAAAGCGACATAAAGCTTCAATTACTTTGATGTAGAACAAAAAACTAATTCTGCTTTCAGACATGGTTGTGTGATTGGAAGAGAGACCTCCAAGTTGTTTACTTAAGCTGAAAGAAGTGGAAATCGCTCCTACGACACTTTCACTGTATAAGTTTAAGGAACTAGTAAAGAGGAGAAGAACAACAAGTAGAGTTCAATAGCAAAAAGACAGCAGAGTTGTCCTGATCTTTCAGGACCTCAACCAACTTTTCAGCTATGCTATTAGGTTGTGTGACTATGATATTTTACGCGTTTACACAACAATAGGCTCATACGGCGTGCCTCAGTGTGATGTACTTGTAATTACATTGGCGTGTTGGGGTTCTTCAACATGCTCCCAAACCAAAGTGGAGAAGTGTTCCTTCACTACACCCCATCAAAATGAGCAGTGACCACTAATCCAGTCTATGTCTTGGAGCTTGCCGACGCAACACCTTACCTCAAAGCCAGGGGTCTGAAACTCATCTCAGGCAGTGAGCCGCAAGCAGGAAAATATGTGAGAATGTAGGGCAGGGTAGTCAAGGGGTTAGGTCTCACACATTTTAGACAAACGGTACCATTGAAAAGAAAACCTTTCCCATATCTCATATACGAGATCTTTCTGAAGAAGACTTGCAGCCAGTACATGGGCGGGTGCATAGCCTAGCGAAGCTATCACGGGCCGAATTTTACAGCGAAAGTTGTTGTGAGATCAGAACACAGGTCACGTGCGGTACCATAGTTGGCTGCCGCCACCGACGGTGTCCGTAACCGACAAACCTGCTCGCGCGCCAAGCACGTCGTATGCCGATGCAATCAATACTTAACGACGTACAGTCGGCAATAACACAAAGCTAAAGCTACATAATTTGATGCGTATGATGAAAACCACACTGTTGAATTCTGAAACAACACGATTAGATTTGCTTTTACTTTCGATATTACGTATCTCGCGATGCAGTGGTTTTACCATCGATAGAGACAAAACGTCTTTAAAAGTAATACGTATCTGCCAATCGCAATCTACTACAACTTCCCTCTGTCGATCTCCGACGTCCGAGTTTCTCCTACAAAGTTGCGAGACTTCAGAACTGTGAGATACGCTGACCAATTTGGCGACGGGGGATGCAACTCATAAATTAATATTAACGATAATAAATTAAAACGCGAATGGGTTTGCGATGTAAGAAGAGCGTAAGTGGGAACTCCTCCATTTGTTCCTCGGTCCACAATCGACCTGTCCAGGCACGGCTGAACTACACACGAAGCGAAAACAGCGACTGCGTGGCGTCTGTGTTTCGGTCTGTAGTGTGATTCCGCGTAAGCACACGCGTCAAGCGTTCATCCATTGACTGTTCCCCTTTTCACCCTCCTCCACTTCTCCAAACAACGGGCTTCATTTCGAGTTTGAGAAATCGGTGGCGCTGGCGCCACGTGCTCGCTTCCACAAGTGCCGGCGGCAGTTACGTTGCGATTGCTCGCTGCCACTGATCGATCAATGGTGCCGGTAACCGCCGGATGGATCGACGTTTGAGCGAAACGCGCACGCATCGCTCAGTTTTCGACGGGCGTCATCTATTCATGCAAGCTGTGGCCCTGTCACGCGCTGCTCATTTGAAATGTCTTATTGACATTCGGAACTGTACATTCGTCCACCAATGACGGCATATGCGACTTTCGGACCTTGGCCTAGTGGCCTAATAAGATGAAAACGATTGTCGAGCAGGCGTTGTGTGCCGCACTTCGCAAAAAGGGTTTGCACATAAATATCCGCAATCAGCTTACAGGGAGAAAAAAAAATGGACAAAAGAAGAGTGTGAGGCAGGGAGTCGGACCAGATCTTATCATTTTGCGTCTTAAGCGGGAGGAGAGGAGAAAATGAACGAAATAAGCAAGGAGGAAAGAGAGAAGAATCAATACCAGCGTTCACCGAGCATACTGATACAGTCTCAACCGAGAAATAGTTGAGTTCGGTTCCTCTACGATTATCTCAAAGTCGATTCGGAATGCACGTCTGTACTATGCTTCATTTTTCACGGATAATTTCCTCTGTAGAGATCTGACAACTCCACCACTTCATTGCACCCTGCAAGATCTTAATTCTTTGGAGACATGCTTTGAAAGCCTTTTCAGCCTAAATCTAGTATGCTAACCAACATTGGTATAAAGAAAAAAAAGTGTGTGGGTGGTGAGGGGGGCGAGACAGATTTGAAAGAGGAAAGAAAAGGGTGAAGAAACGCCGTGGCATGCGTTGACTGTGAGCGAGTCTCACTCACTGTGGACGTCAAGTGATATCATCACCGGACGACTAAGTTTCGAAACGGACAAGTAAAGAAAATGCTAAGCAAAAATATTTAATTGATCCAGTTTATTTTGTTATTCGATGTGGCTGGCTCAGTGTCATCTTTTCCCGGTGTCCCTTGGGTGTGTCACACTGTTCGAAGTAGTTCTGTGTAAGGCAAGTTCCATCGCTTGACTTCGTAGCTGTCCTGGAAGCTTCTGCCAAATCTGCGAAATGACAAAAAAAGTAGTGTAAGATGCAGTTTCTGACATGATGGATGAACGAAAGAAAGCTACGTTACGTGATGTAAGAGCAGGGCTACTTTCTAGTACTTATGGCGTTGTCCTGATCGCCTTTGTACTCTTTAATGATGATTTCCTAAATGCCATTGTTCTTTCTCTGTGCACTGACAAAGTCCAAAGCCCCGCAGGGTTTCGCAAATTTTTGACACTTGTTTAGAATCAGACTAGGCTTCAGGCTGCAGATAGGACAAATTACAAAAATTAAGACTTATAATATAGGATAGTGCGTGGCTCTATGCTTCGGCTATAACACACCGCACAGTGTCACCAATCAATGGCAGAATAATCAGAGTAATGTAGCCTTTTCTCTCTGTATAGTAGTGATCAACAAAGAACAAAGTACAATATGAATCTTTTTAAGGGTTAATGTGGAATTTATGGATCGTCATTGATAAAACTGAGTGATGCATGCAACGTTATTCACCACTAAATAAAATCAGCACACATTACAGAAAGTGGCCAATCCGCTCTGCAAGAACTGCCAAGAGGAAACAAGCTTCAAGAAAGGGAAAGCTCGCATTACTTCCTGCAAGGAGTATCTGTGGTACTGGGTTTGAATTCTGGACCAGAATGAATTTTTTTATCGACTAACCAACCTTCTCTCTGAGAAATTTGTAATAACCGCTACTGAGTTGTGGTGGTTATGATGCTTCACTGCTCACACGAAGGTCGCGGGATCGAATCCCGGCTGCGGCTGCTGCATTTTCAATGTAGGCTGAAATGCTTGAGGCCCGTGTGCTTAGATTTCGGTGCCCATTAAAGCATGGCAGGCGGTGTAAAATACTGGAACTCTCCAGCACGATGTCTCTCGTAATCAGATGGTGGTTCTGGCGCATTAAATCCCAAATGACTAATGTTATCAGAGAAATACGTATGAGTTTTGTTTTCCAGCTTCGTGATGCAGACGAGTTAAGGAAAATTTTCTCCCTCTCGTTTAACATGTTATTGATGCAAAGTGAGACCAGCCGTTGTGGGAGCAATCACCTGGGCTTTCCGAGCAGCAGATAGTAGTCGTCGAGTGCCTGCAGGTACTGGGAGAGCTGTTTCTCGTTCTGGAAGACGTGCGGCATGTTGGGCTTCTGGCTTTCGCCCATGTTGGCTACCGAGACGGAAGCAGAGGCCACCAGCACCATCAGCATGGTCACCAGAGTCGAAGGGGTCATGACTTGCAGGCCGCGAAGAGGGCAAGCTGCAATGCGATGCACGAATGCTTTCGTTTATTCACGCATCCATGTTATATGATGTACAGCAGGGGTGTCACTTAATTCGTGAGTGGGCTTGTTCTGTTCATTGAGGAATCCCCATGAGCACAGTCGTGCTCGCGAAAATCACTTTAACTTCAGCGAAACGAGTCTCATCATCGAGATGCTCTGCCAGTTTGAATGTGAGTGTGGTGATCGAGTTCTGAGCACCAAGCCTTCGCGAGCTTGCGCGTGTCCTTACGAATGACATTTAATGTTCGTATGTTAGATAACACTGTATATTAGTGTCCAGTTTCATTTAGGCGAGTTGGCTGTATAATACGAACCTGTAAATACGCGAACAGTAAAACTGAACAACGCTCAAGACATATCGCATTTCTTTGTGCGAACACAACGTTACAACCTATATCTCATGCTTCAAGTTCTAACGTTCATGCGCGTTAAAATGTGCGGGTGCATAGTATGGTGCAACAGCACTTATTAACGATAATTCAAACAATATAATTGCCTGCCGTTTCAATATAACTTGCTTGAAGACGAAGTAGTTGCTTGTGTTGATGTTGCTGCAGTTGATACTTTAGAAACGCGCCATATATCTTGCGACTCTTGTCGAGACAACGAGCTAGGGTGAATCCTATTTGAGATTTCTCTGAGAAAGATCGCGCAGAACAACGACATTGAACAGAACAGAGCATGGCGAGGGGCATTACAAAACATTTACAAAGTGTGTGTGCATTACAAAATATTTATCATAAGAAAATGTTGTCGATAACACAAATTGAACTGTCATTAGACATAGAATATAGCATAGCGCACTGCCCATCTTTGAAAACAATGGCCATGTGATATATGTCAAGAATATCTAGGAAAGCAGAATGACTACGAATACTTGAACTTCAAGAGCGTAGTCAAGAAACTTTAGTCTGTCTAAATATATCCCGAGTGAACCGGGACAGTACTTAAAAAGATGCGATTGCGAACGCACTCTACAACTTCGAGCAATCGCAGAAAGCCTTATTCACGTTCTTTTTCTTTTTAAAGTGAGTGAAAAATACGTCTCCATATAGCAAAATAAGCGAAGCGCCAAATGTGTTCGTAAAGTAGCAAAACGAAGACGAGATGGAGAAAACGGATGTTGCTTAGAACATTCTTATTTTGAGTTATCTTGAAAGTACTTCATCACGACAAATTGAATATCGGTATCTTTTTTTGACGAAACGAAAACTTTCTGGTGTTACAGTACGCGTGAGTTACGAATGTAGCAAAGGAAAAACGTTTCGCACCTGATACACAAGGCGTGAAAAAGAAGAAAAAGCGTATCTGCACTATGAAGCAAGTAGCGTAAGTTTGAAGGAAGAGGTTCCGGAGGAAAAATATCATTGCAGGTATTAAGAAAAAATTGAACTTCCAGTTCACGCTCTCTGGTTTCGAAGATTGATGGTAGTGGAATGCAAGATTTTTCTTTCTAAACACTCTCCCAATATAGCAGGTTTTTGCCCATGGCTTGAAACATTTTCTGTAGCTTTTACGACAGAAAGAAAAAAGAAAGAAAGAAAGAAAGAAAGAAAGAAAGAAAGAAAGAAAGAAAGAAAGAACCTTCGCAATCGGATGAAAAAGTGACGACAGAAGATCTGGTTCCACAATCACAATAAAAAACTGCCAAAGTATTCTTTTTGTGGCCCCGAAGTAGATTAATCAAGGAAGCACAGTTTGCACTCCACCGATTCGTGCGACTATAAATACAGTAACAAAGCCTCACTAGTATCAGAAAATGACCGGAGCGTGCTAAAACTTGCCCATGGAAATTCAATTGAATTGGCCGATTTTCTTGCAATTCACGGTCAGTCGCAATACCAATAACACAAAATAATTACTCTTGGTAATTCGCCTTTGTTTGATAAATTTGTGCACGTGTACTCAAGGCTTGTCTAAGTCAAACCTCGAAACATACAAATGATACGAACCGTGGAAGGTTTAAAGAACTTGGGGTAAAACTGAATTCGTACGCAGGCAAACCATGACCGCTCTTTTTTTCTATGTACCTGATAGACCCAAGCATGCCGTAGGAGAGAGAGAAAACTGCAGGTGCCTGTATAATTTTAACAATTCATTAGGTAAAACAACAATTGGATAGTCATTTGAGCTCCACAGTATGAATGTTGTGATGTAAGTGCCCGTTAGGTTAAGCTACGGTAGTTGTAATTGTGAGAGTTTCACAACATGACCTACACTTCAGGCTATCTTTAGTACACGTCCGGCAAACGAGGCTGCAGAACTTCAATTGACCTATTTTATTTATTTATTTATTTATTTTATTTGTATGGACATTCTTGCATGAACGCCAAATATTATTAGGCGCAACTTAAGTATTGGCACATTGTAGAGTTACGAAGCCTATATACAAAATTTAAGCGCGAATGCTGAGCTTCGAACGAAGGACCATTCTCTTGAGTTGCTGAGTATATATACGTGTACATGCAAGCTTTAGCTATCAAAGGGCGGATATAATTTTACCAGCTAAGTTTGCGAAGGCCTACATGCGATTTACCCCGAAATATTGCACTGTACACAATATTTTCAGCTGTGAATTACGGGCACAAAACAGTGTTCGCGAAAGGCTGGCATGGCTAACGATGTGATGCTTTTTTTTTAGCCGGGTATTATCTCGAACCGATTTGAAGGTTTTTTTGAGTACTCACATCGTATTCTTGGCACGCAACCAATAGCCTTTAAATTCAGGCGGCATTTGAAAGCAATATTATGCAACGGGAGACGATCAACTTTTAGAACACTTTCAGAAAACATGTGCGAATAGGACTCTTTAATTGGCGCTTTAAGCTTGTTTAGAATGGCAAACCTGATTTGAAGCCATCGTTATCAGCTTTTTCAAACCAAACTTCAAGAAAACCTATGCACAGGCAGCTTGCTTTGCGGTTTATCAATTCACTAAAGCACAACAAATACAGTTTCCGTACTTCAGTCAATGCTTATACTTTTTGAAATTAAAACAATGGCAAGAAAATTGAAGATTGTTGTGGTTCTACGTCCCAAAACCACGATGTAATTATAACAGAGAACGTATAGTGGAGGGCTCCAGAAATTTTGCTACCAAGGGTTTTTAACACGCATCTAAATCAGAGCAAATGGTACTCTAAGCACTTTGTCCGTATTGAAATGCGGCTGCCGCTGCCGGGACTCGAACACACGACCTTCGGCTCAGCAGTCAAGCGCCATAGCCAGTAGCCCACCACGGCTGGTAACAATGGCTAGACAAGACCCACTAGGTAGCGCTGCGCTAATTTCGTTCTGCTCGGCAAAGTTCCACGCTCACTTCAAAAGTTTCAGAATTCTAAACATTCACATCAACTGAACCAGAACACAACACAGGCCAAATAAGGGAAGTAAAAAGTAGAGGCACGCATCTACTCACCGTTTCGTGTATCACCGGGAAGCTGACGAGCCTACTGAATCGTTCGAGCGTCTCAAGCGGCCGCTTATATAGCCTCCGCTGGCCTCAACAAATCGCTGCAGGCGCGGTTGCAACCACGCATCGGCGTAAGGTGCTCCGTAACCGCACAGCCCTTCCCGTCGCCTCTTAGGATAGACGCAATGTGCCACTGGACACGCATCTCCCCCTTACCCTCCCCTCCACCTCTTCATCGCTTACCAATCTATTTCGTTGCACTTTACGTACATCTATCGCTCGCTTTATTTGCATATTGCTGGCCATTTCTTGTTGGTCGTCTCGATAGGTTGTCCTGGGGATGCCGAAGATCGTGAGAAAGCTCGTTTATTTTTCTGTCTTCATTTCCTGTTTATAAGAAATATACGAAGAAATGTGACACGATATGCCCGGGGTGGGAGAGGGGGAGGGGTGGTGTAGAAGCGTAACACCATCATTGCCCTCCCCATGGCGCACGAGAATGGCAGATACTCGACGCCCCGCCGTGACACCACAAAGGAAGCTCTCCTAGCGGCTGCTGCTCCCGCGGCGTGAATTTGCCCACGTACGAAGTGCTGTAAGGGATGATAGGCATTGGTGGGGATGCGTGCGGTTCGCATTTAGTCGGGATGAAGTTGAGGGGGCGTCGGTAGCGCGCAGCCCGTGCCTTACATGCGCGTCTTATATACTCGTCTTATATACGCTTCGCCTCCACAATGATTGAACGTATGGGAGGCGCCCTCGTTTTGAAACCCCCCTTCCACCTTCCCCAATTTTCCGTTGGTCTCTATATGCATCCCACTGTGAAACCAGGCTGTCGTCAGCTCATATTTATTTATACTGTTCATTTAAGTTTCCTGCAAACTAGTTTCGTTTACATGGAAACGCTATCCGTGCATCCCGTAGCTATATGCAAAAAAAGAAAGGAAAGCTGCGAGCCGATTGCATTATGTATTATTTGTAAACCGAATACGTTTTGAGAGTATTCTTTCTAAACCCTCTGGTGCCATCTTGGTTTTTTCATTATAGCTTGATCGATCTGGTATATACCGTAGCGTGCATGGCAAGACAAACAAGTGCGGCATAAGAAATGGCACATCGTGCTATTATTGTCATAACTGATGCCGTCATGCTCAATAGCTTAACTGAGATTTCTCGTACTTCGAGAAGCAGTCCTGGCGATTTTATTTTCCTGTTATAGATAAGAACTAGCGTGGTATGATAAACAAGCATGACGCAGATAAATGATGCGCCATGGCGCGTGCGACGAGACCTCCATGACATGCGTGGCATGACATGAAAGACACTGATAAGGAAGCACCATTGCGGTCGGTTAATTAGCCTCACATTTTGGTACTCTAGCGTTATCGCACTCGTAGGATAATGTTAGAGTACGAACTCTGACACGAATTGAATGAGCAGTGGGCGTAGCCCGGCTGCTGATTTTTATGATGAAGGTGAAGATTGTGTGAGAATGAGATAGTCACAAATGCCTCGGCAAGAATGGTATATAGTTTAAATAATGGTGTTAGGCTGGCTGTTCTTTTTTCACAGGGCTGTACAGGGTTCCCCAGCTAACTTTAGATATAGTTTAAAATATGACAACACATGCAATTTCGACGCGACCAAACGCATGTTGCTGACCATTGCCTCGCGTTAGCTATACTATTTTTGTGTTCTAAAATATTGTTTAATTAGATCTGTTTAATTAACTTACTTTTAAAGAAACGAGAATAGATAAAAATTTCAATGATAAAGTTGTAGATTGGTTTACAAAATGTTCAAGTAGACAGTCTCGAACTTTATAACTGTTAATTATTAGTGTTTTTTTGCTGACTGCAAATACACGAGAAATGAAAAAAATACCACGTGACAAACTCTCTCGTGCGCTAGTGCGCACGATGATTCTAGTGTTCCCTAACGTTCCGTGTACGAACAGCCAACGCATTTGTCCCATTGTGTTGCCTCGACAAGGCCACAGCAATGGTGGTGGCTTCGCGATGAACAGGTTTTGCTATCGGCCACAAAAGCGATAACTCCGGTGACAGCTTATTGCTGTCATGAACCGGTGTGAGAGAAGCGCATCGTTTGCACGCGGAGTATTAGGGAGCACCAGAATCATAGAGCGCGTAGGCGCGAGTGGGTTTGTCACGTGGAATTTTTTTTTGTATTTCACGGGCATTTGTAATTAACAGAAAAACACTAATAATTAACAGATATAAAGTTCAGCACTGAGTAATCGGACGTTTTGCGATCTGATCTACAACTTCCTCATTGAAATTTTTGATCTACTTTTGTTACTTTTAGAGTTATTTATTTAAACAGATTTAATTAAGGAATATTTTAGAACACAAAAATGGTTTGATGAACTCCAGGCAACAGTCAGCAATATGCCTTTGGTCGCGGCGTAATTGCATGTGTCGGCATGTTTTTAAACTTTGGCTAAATATAGCTGGGGCAGCCTGCATATATGAACAACATGAGTGAGGTGTCATAAAATCAGCGATACGTCAAGACATGTTTGCTTGTAAAAATTACATGACGCCTTCGCGGTAGCTTCTTTAACTTCTTTAACTTCTTTAACGTGACATCCACACATTTTGTAACACGAATTGCAAGGTATGATGTACATAAGACACACTGCTCTTACGTGCAGTTCATACTCGTGTTTTCTTTTAAATACACGACTAACCGACGATATGCAGAGCTAATAGAAATTGGTGCCAGAATCGCAATTGCTTATTATGGAATCACTATTCAATAAGAGCAGCGTAAGCCAGTGTGTGTAAGCATGACTTGGTGGAAGGGACCTTACTGTTGTGCGTTCTCTAGCCATCGCATTATATCGCATACACCTGTGAGCGTACGCAGGCGTTCCGCAGGGGGTAAGGCGGATCGACTACACTATAGAAGGTTCTGCAGCCTCCTTTCTGAATGACAGTTTTCAATGCCGCGAACGACGTATACGCTAGCATGGTATTGCTTGTTTCGTATTCTAATTTTCTAAGTTTTCTATGATGTTGTCTAACACCAAGCAGTCAGTCTCGTTTATCTCAACAGCAGATAATTCTATACCGTAGTCATAATGATGTCAATAGTTTGTAAGCAAAGATTTTTCATACATTGTTGCTCGAATACATATTTCCTTCTAGTATACATCGAGAAACAGTTGCCCCGAGACTTACAGCAAACAGCAGGTGAATGTGATGTCCACGTAACATCTGCCGTTGTCCTTCTATAGTTGGATAACTAGTGAAAGGAACGCCAGCTTATGTCAATGTTTACAAAGAAGAACCACATGTGTCTTGCGTTGGGAGTAATATTAGTCTCATGACGGCGAAAAAAATCACGAGATAGAGAGAGACAGAGAGAACAATCACAGGGATCTTTTCAAATCACCTAAATGGAAGCCGTCTGCTTTCTTCTTCTCATTCGGTGTATTTAGAGTCCCTGGCCATTGTTATGAAAGCACAGTCTTTCTTTTAAACAAGCCGCCGTGCCACACGCTCTTTTTTTTTCCGCCTCTCGTATGAGCTCTTTTTTTTGTTATACTCGTAGGGCTGTAGCCATGGAAACGAGTGTGAATTATTGTTTTTTTTCTTGTGTTGTCATTGTAAGGCGGCTCTATCAACTATGAAATATCACAACATATCAACAAAGTCAATCATAACGGGTGGGCGAGTCACTGATGCCATTTGGTGTTACCGTAACCCACACGTGACGTCGACCACTTGCTCGAGTGAATGAGTGACAAAGCGATGTACAGTTATGTATATTGCTTATTAATAATAAATGGTATGTCGTGTTGAGCTGTGAATTAAGTTTTGACTTCATTATTACTGTTTCTGGCATCATACCTAGCCTGCAGTTAGTAAAGGTGAGGTCGGGACACGTTTCTGTTGTGGCTGTTGCATGTTTCCAGTCATACGAAACGCACCGTATAGAGCATATCGAGATGTCATATACTACACTAGCCAGTCGTTGGTCGTGAACATCATCGTCATCAGTGTCATCATTATCGTCATGACATATAGTAAGTGCATTACAAGTGGTGGGCCTTGACGGCAGAATTTATGATCTGAAATGCGCTTCATCATCCTCGTCATCGTCATCGTCATCATTGCTCATTGTATAAGGTCGGCGCTTGCACGGAAGCAGTTTGGGGGAGGATATAGCAGAGGCACGCCCTCTTGTGGGAGGAGGCTCGGCCATTGGAGATGATATATCTTCTATAGTAAGGGGCTTGCTTCACCGCCCTTCAAAAGCTTTGTGCGCCTAACATTGTTTTGCACTGCCTCGAAGATAAGAAATGTAGTGTGCGCCTTCTGCACTTACAAGGAACAGCCTCCGGGAGCGACCCAGCTTTGACCATGCGGTGATGTCGTATAATGACAGGATTATGCAACGTAACAATGACGTCACAACATTTGGTGAATTGTGACTTCATCACATGACGACTTTTGGCATCATTGGTGTTGATTCCAAACCCGATGGCCAATTTTAGTTTTCGATAAGTAATCTAAAGTTTTTGTCCTAATAAACCTTCATTTTCAGAAGCCTTGTTCCAACATGAGCCCAGTGTCCCCTTGATGCAGTATAGCCCACGTGACTTGCATAAACATTTCCTCTATGAGCATGTATTGTAGTGTCTTTATTTATTACAGCCATGGCCTTACATATACAGGCATCCGGCCCAGATAATTAGCGTAAGAAAGGGAAGAAAAAAAAAAGGTTGCGCATAACAAAAGCTCCAGCTACACAGCCGACGAGGTGATTGTGGTGAGCTGACTGAATTACATAACTGTACCCTTTGAGCGTCTCGAACAAAGCGCTTTATTTAGGCCGGAGCTGCATGTCATGCAGGCATACTGGAGAAAATAGTTCTATGCGGGGCTGGCGTTATATGACGTGGTATTCAGGCTATGTGAACATGCCTCCATATTTGGTGCAAAAGGAAGAGACGGCGCGGAGCCATAGGTAAGGAATGTCTCTATTTTGCCTAGTCCGAGAAAAAAAAAAGAGTAAGTTG